GCCGGCAAATAGATGCCGTCTTCCAACACATGTTCAGCAACGTTTCTACGGGGTAACTTGTTTGTATCATTTACGTTTAAAGTGGCTCAGATGAGATGCAGGTCTGTTAGAAAAGTTTATTATCAAATACAAAATGATTTGAAAATTGTATATATTAGTATTATGCGTGGATTGTGGGAGTTTCTGTCGTTTTCTGTGTCTTACTTAGTTGCCTTATATTTCGTGAAATTCTTTTATCTGACGTGTATGGAAGAGTCCAAAATATCCTGTATTTTATTTAATAAGCCAAAATTAACACACTTTTTGTTACTGTTGTCGGCTTCTTTATTTTTTTACCTATTTTGTTATAGTTTTTATCTAGCATGTTTTAATTGATCAGGTTGGTTTTATTGTCAAGAATATAATGACAGTTGTGACAATAATAATTATTATTGCTGTTATTATTATTGTTATTGCTATCAATACTACTGTTATTATTAGAATCCTGGTAACATTATTAACAAGGATTATCCACACTGATAGTCCGGACGGTTTTGGTGTTATAATAGTAATAATAATGATAATAATAGTAATGATAGTAGTAGTAATAATAATAATAATGATGATGATAATAATAATAATAATAATAGTAGTAGTAATAATAATAACTAATATTAGTATTGTTTGTTTCAGTGCTATTAACATCTTTCTTAATGTGTTTGCTACATTGATTAAAAACAGCTGTTCAGATTTCCTATAAAACTTAAATATTTTTGGAGTCCTTAGTGTTGACAGAGAGGAGTGGCAGTTTGTTGAAAAGATAAAAGATAGATGAAAGTGGTGAAAAAAGAATGACGGATGGTGTATTTTTTTTCTGTTTGATTGGTCGTTTTTTGCTGAAAAACTAGTGGCGTTTTTGTATTTATTACATTATCAATGAAGTGCTGAATGACGAATCATAAAATGCTTTTTGCATTCATCCGAAAAATTATCAAAAAAAAAAAATTCTTGTTGCAAAATTTTCGCGAGAGCGCTTCTTCTTATCTATACCACTGGTGTTTTGGGCAGATGCTTCCGAATTGTCGTCTTCCACATTTTTTCATCAATTTTAGCTTATTTTTGTAACATTGCAGGCATGCACTGATTCACAGTTTGCATTTATTTGCTCAACCGGTGTAGCATTCATTCCGCTTAAGCCGCCTACCCTTCGACAGTTGTCATTTCTGGCGCTACAGCGGCAACACTGCAAGATTGAAAATGGAATATGGTGCGGCGGAATCTCTGAGCAACAAATCAAGGACTACTGCAGTTGCAGCACAAGTCTGAAGCTTCTGTGAACAAAGCTTGAACGTGACTTTTGCACTTCACAGAAGGAGCTACTTGTAATGTTGGCATTTGCAAATGGTTCGGTTTGCCTAATTTTTGTTTCATTTTTTGAACTGTTTTCGAATATTTGGGAAAAATGTTTGGCGAAGCTTTATGAACTTAACGAAAAAAAATTTGACAAAAAGAAAAGATTTGCGAAAAAATTTTGCTTTTTAAAAGAAAGGTCCCATCATTAAAAAAATGCTTACGTCCTTGTTAAAATACTTTTAAAAATTGCCCTCTCAGGCATAAAGCTTAACAGCGCCATTACAATGAGTAGTCTTTTTTTTGATGTTCCAGATGCTGTTTTTTAGTTGATAAAACGGAAAAAATTTTTTCGGGTCAAATCTGCCAGTTCAAACGACCTTGGAATCTCATTGATTATAACTATTGAAAATAGAGTGGCAACGGCACACATTTGTGACTAAATTATTGAATAACTGTGTTGGATAGGGCACTGCTTTTTCGCACATTTTTTTACGTATTTTGCATCAATCGCGAATAAATCATGGTAAAATTGTATGTATTTATGTATATAT